TTACAAGCTCTGGAGCCCCTTAAGATCTGGAGGGGCAGAGTCTCTCTCCTAAGGCTCTGCTGCCCAGGTTTGAGGGCCCCTGTCATTGCTCTCTGTCTCACCTATGCCTTTGGAGTGGAGTGGGGGGAAAGGAGGACATGGTCCACTTCCTATGGGATCTCTGATGAGGATAATGCCCATGGGTTTTATGGAAGCAGACTCCAAAGCAGTGAAGGGGGTGGGTAGGTTGTATTCCCATAACTTGGAGGCCTAGGAACTTCACTGCATTTCTCCTAGGCAGAGAGAACCTGGCTCTCTCCAGGTCCCCCTCAGTTCTCTAAGGTTCCATCAGCGTTTTGGCCCCCGTTGGCACACACTTTTCCTAGGAGGGACCATAGCACTCAGAGTGAACCCCAGTCAGCGTAATGGAGGGCAGCCTCCTCAGCCCCCCTACCCCACTTCTCTGGCTCCCTACCAGGGTGCAGGGCCAGGATGAGGGTGTTGAATGGGGCTTCTCAGGGGCCACCCCTCTCCCAGCCTGAAGTGAGACCAGAGGCTTTGGGACTTGGAGGTAGTGGGGTGGACACCCCCCTGCTCCTGGGCTCTATCCCAAGGATGGAAGAAGAGGGAATTTCCCTGAAGATCTGGGATCCCCCCTCAGGAAGCAAGAGCCTCTAGCCCTGAGGGCCCCCTGCAGCTGCTGGAAAGGGGGCAGGGGAGAAGGGGGGCAGGAAGGTGGGAATTCCCCCAGGGCCCGGTAGGAGGTGGATGGAGAGGGGCAGAAAGCTGTCTGGCTCAGGAGCTGAGGTCCTCTACTTTGGGTCTTCCCTACAATTGCCTCTGTACAATGGGAGTTGGTTTCAAAAGCTTCTGAGATTCTGCAGGCGGGCCGGTCTCGGTGTTGGTGTTGGGTGCTGGGCAGTGGGGCTGGCTACCAGCGTCACGGTTCACCGTGCCTCCCTCTGCAGGCGGTGATGGAGAACATGCGGCGGAAGTGCAAGTGCCACGGCACGTCAGGCAGTTGCCAGCTCAAAACGTGCTGGCAGGTGACACCGGAGTTCCGCGCAGTGGGGGCGCTGCTGCGCAGCCGCTTCCACCGAGCCACGCTCATCCGGCCACACAACCGCAACGGCGGCCACCTGGCAC